TCAGTGGTGGTTGCAGTGGTGGTTGCAGTGGTGGTTGCAGTGGTGGTAGTGGTAGATGTTGAAGTGGTCATAAGAGAATGAGTGGTATTTTTTAGCTGCTGGACTTGAGTCCCGAATTCAGTTTGGAAGAAAGGCCATGGATATGGTTTCTGTGGTGGTTTCAGTGGTGGTTGCAGTGGTGGTTGCAGTGGTGGTTGCAGTGGTGGTAGTGGTAGATGTTGAAGTGGTCATAAGAGAATGAGTGGTATTTTTTAGCTGCTGGACTTGAGTCCCGAATTCAGTTTGAAAGAAAGGCCATGGATATCGCAGTGTTTTAAAGGGCTGTCGTTGAAGGGATGGTGGCTCTGGTTTTTGTGTTGATGCCACCTCTTTTTTGGAAGTTGGTTGGGTTCGGAAGGATGTTTCTAACTGCTGCTTCTGGGGAGTACCTTGGGATGGAGGTGGCCTTGTTCCTTCTGTGGATGTTGTTTGTCTCGGTGCCAATGGGCTAGATGTGGTTGATGATGTTGACCCTGGCTGCGTCAGTGGCAGAGGGATGGCCTTCTGATGGAGCTCTTCTTTTGTGTAGCCTTGGATCCAGTCATAGAAGTTCTGGGTAGAAGTGTAGACCCCGGGCTTCTGGGCCCTGGCACAGCCCAGTCCCCAGCCAGTCACTCCCACAATCCAGTAGCGCTCAGACCGGTTTTCCCTACACATAAGAGGTCCTCCACTGTCACCCTGCAGCAGGAAGAAAGAAGAAGCCATGAAGGGAGCCACTAGAAGGAGCAGTGATGAGCCAAGAGATGGCTTGCTGGTGTGTTGGTTGATGAAAGGAGATGCAATATGGCCTTGTGTGGGTCATAAATCAGGATCACCTCCCAAAGCCCATATAGCTTGTCCAACCCCGCTTGGCTTCTATCAAGATCACCCAAGGTCATCTGGGTGCTACGACCTGCACTAGATAATCCATGTGGAAGAGTGGAAGACTTCACTCACGGGCACCTCAGTAACCAGGTTAAGTTTGTTCTCTTTCTACTTTCACACAATTCTGTAAATGTTACACTATAAAATAAAAGGGTGATTTAGGCTCATGCAACATGCTAACCTTCCACGTAACTAAACAAGGTTAAAACCAGCCAAGTAAGTATTTGAGGCATACACTGGGCAAAACACATTGTGTGAACACAACCAATACAAATAAACGTCCTGGAGTCGCCAATGTCAGCATTTCCAATAGTTTAATACTGCTGATATAGCAAAATGGCCAGGCTGACCAACGGGCCATAGACACTCTTTCCTAAGACTCTTTGGCAAAAGGATAACATATTTTTTTATTTTATTTTATTTTATTTTTTATTATTTTTTATTTTATATTTTACTATTTTATTTTATTTTATTTTATTTTAC